TTTCAAGGAAAACATAGTATTTGCAATGGGCTAAAAGTGGGGCACGTTCAATATCTAAATCAAAAACAACTGGTGAAGGTCCCAAATAGGAATATTCAACACTAATCCAACAACTTTGCAAGTTACGCAGGGCTTAATAATGTGACTGGCCAAATGGAGGGAAACAGAGGAAAGGGAAAAGAAACTAATTATCATTGAGAACCACCTGAGAAGAGGCATTGGCAAGATCATCCTCATCATCATCCTCAAGACAAGAGAGAGAACTAAAGTTCAAACAGTGTGAAATGATTCCCCAAGGGAACACAGTCAGTATGAACTGCACATCATTATGAATGGAACCTCAGTATTAGCCTGACCTTGTCCAACTCCATTGCCCACACTCATTTCTCTCCTACCACAGTAAGATGTTTAAAATACATTTAACTTACTTTTCATTTTCTTTTCTCATTTTGGTTTGCTTTTTGCTTTACCTGACTCCAGAAGCTTCTTGACACAGGCTATCTGCTGGTTTTCACAAGCCAAATAGAGTGGAGTGCCCAGGTGGCTGATGTTATGGTCAATGTTGACCCCATGAGCTATAAGAGCGTCGACACACTCCGCGTGGCCTGCAGCCCAAAGCAGGAGAAAAACAGTTACAGTACAAGTTCCCTTACCTAGAAAAACAATGGCAGCCCCATTTTGCATTAAATTTAGCAGCAGCTTATCCAGGGGACCAAAAGCTGTTTCCTTTACTTAGAATCAGGAGTGATTTTAAACACTGATGTTAGTTAATGCTTTGACCATAGGATGTAATCTGCAACTATGGGTGAAACTAACTCCATTTGAGTTAACTAGCCATGGTAACCCACCGGCAACCAACCGCATTTTTCAATGTTTGTGGCTTTGCAGTTAGTCTAAGCACAGAAACTGAAGTGAGAGTTGGGAAGAGATACAGAGAAACAGGACCTGAAGGTGGACCTGAAGATTAAAGTGTACAGTGTGGGCCACAAGACAGGGAAGGAAACTTGCAACCTCTCCAAAGGCAGGCCCGGGAGAAATAGGCCACAGCAGGTATAGGGAAGGCTTAGAAGAAGCTGCCAAATCCCACATGAGCAGAGCCCAGTCTGGCAAACTAGGCAAAAACTGAATCACACTTCCTTGGTCCAGAATGTCGTATTTTCGACATTGCTTCTCCACGTTTCTCTTGCTACATTTTAGTTCTAGGTATTGCAGCAAATACAATGAGTTAGTATGTTCTCAGTAAATGAATATCAATGCTTTGGGAGATCATTATAAGTGAGTTGATCCAGTCAAATGCGAAGCCATTCTGTGAAAGTCACTGGAGAAATAGCAAGCCCTCTGGCAAGGTATGGTTATTATGATGATGATAAATATTGGAGAAAATAAAAACTTGTGATGATTTTATGAGCTAAGAATATCAGAAAAATTATGGCTTTAATGACAAAACATAATTTCAAAACTTGAAAGTTTATTTCATTTGGCAAACTTTAGTGTCACTGAGACAATATTCTTTAAGGCCCTAAAATAGAAGAATATAATTTGTTTTATGAAATAACCTGATTTCTATAAGGTCACGGGTATGAGAATGTATTCTACAAATATTGATGGATAGTCTACTCTGCTCCAAGCCCTGTTCCAGTAATATAGCAGTGAAAAACATTCGCAATGCTTTAAAAGGGAGGTGCTCAAGGTTACTGTGCACCAGAAGCAGCTGGAGGGCTTATTAAACAAAATCCAGATGGCTGAGCCCCACCCCCACAGTTACTGATTCAGTGGGGCTGGAATGGGGCTCAAGAATCTGCATTTGCAGGCCAGGTCATGCTGATGCTTCCAGTCCCAGGACCCCACTTTGAGAACTATTGCTCTAAAATATACCTCCTCCTCTTCTTTCTTTCTTTCTGCAGTAAGATATCCTTTGAAGGAGTGAGTAGAAAAGAAAATTCTCAACAGATTTACCTCTCTTAGCTGCTTCATGGATGGGGGATGCCAGATCACTCGCAGGTTGAAGGTTGGCTCCATGCTGCAGGAGCAAATTCACACAATCCCAGCTGCCACTGACACAAGCATTAAAGAGTGGAGTGTGCCAGTCTGTTGTCATGCCATTCACCTGGAAAAAGAAGCTCCAGGATGAAGACAGGAAGGGGGATGTTTTGGGATGAAATACATGGTCTACCACTCTGAAGATATTTAACTTCTCTGAGCCTTAAATTTCTCAGCTATAAAAGGGAGAAAGAAAGTACCAAATTCCACAAGGTTTTTGTGAAAAATGGACTTAGGGAGTGACTATATAAAGCATCAAAAGTGTTACTCAGGCCAGAGGCAGTCGCTCACGCCTGTGATCCCAACACTTTGGGAGGCCGAGGTGGGCAAATCACCTGAGGTCGGGAGTTTGAGACCAGCCTGACCAATATGGAGAAACCCCGTCTCTACTAAAAATACAAAAAATTAGCCAGGCACAGTAGGGGGGCGCCTGTAATCCCAGCAGCTTGGGAGGCTAAGGCAGGAGAATCACTTGAACCCGGGAAGTGGAGACTGCGGTGAGCCCAGATCGTGCCATTGCACTCCAGCCCGAGCAACAAGAGCAAAACTCCATCTCAAAAAAAAACAAAAAACAAAAAACGTTACTCAATGTTCAATCTCCTCCACGTCCTCCCTAGGAACATGAACTTTGAAACTAGTTTATAAACTAATCCCTACTTTAAACTTCTTTCCTAGACCCATCCCACACCAATTCAATTTCTTAAGGGGGGCAAAAAGATTACTCTTGCTGCTGTGAGGAAATTGTTAAAATTGTTAACTGTAATTCTTAAAGTATAATTTAGAAAGCTTTAAAAAACTTGACTGTCGTACAAATATAGAATTAACACATACATAGCAAAGATTTTATTCAACTCATTCATTAATGAGGGAACCAGTAAGATGGTAAGGCTGGCTCAAATAAAAATTTATATAGTCAATGGATGGCTGAAATATATTTGCTAAATAGATACAAAACTCAGCTGGGCATGGTAGCTTACACTTGTAATCCCAGCACTTTGGGAGGCCAAGGTGGGCGGATCACCTGAGGTCAGAAGTTCAAGACGAGCCTGGGTAACATGGGGAAACCCCAGCTCTACTAAAAATACAAAAATGAGCCAAGTGTGTTGGCACACGCCTGTAATCCCAGCTACTCGGGAGGCTGAGGCAGGAGAACTCCTTGAACTCAGGAAGCAGAGGTTTCAGGGAGCTGACATCGTGCTACTATACTCCAGCCTGGGCAAAAGAGAGAGACTACATCTCAAAAATAAAAAAAAAATAAAATAAATAAAATAAAATAAAATAAACTGGTTAATGTCCTATAGGGCCATAAAACTATAATCTTTGAGGCTATCATTTCTAATGTTGGAAATCAGATGGAAGTTAATGTCTAACTTCACAGCATTTGGGCTATAATTAAATAGTGAATAGAAAAGCCAAATGCAGATGCATTCTTGTACATCATTAAATGATTATTTGGTGAATCTTTTAATCAATGATATTGTGAAGACAATGAATTCATTCTCACACTCTACTACTTCAAAGCAGGGCCAGGACTAGAGTGAGCCACAAAAGATGCCCAGGGTAAAAAAATTAAGGACATGTTCATTTCTGGAGTCACATAAAGGACCCTGAGAATGAGCACCTCTTTCAAGTTTGCACCCTACCTGTCTCTTGCTTCACCTTGGCACTTTCCCTGTTTCTAAGTTTTTAATGTTTTCTTAACCCAAATATAAATCTGGCAATGCATTCAGCTCTGGCTCTTTACTGATCTCAGGACAAAGCCCATTCTTGTTTTGGCATGGACAAGGTTGCTGAACCCTCTCACCTACTCTACTCTCCTGCCATAAGGAATGACTTCAAGATACAAAAATTGCTCACTATCATTTCTGGGACTTTGCATTGGCTATTGCCAGAAGATAGTAAGCCCATAATTTCCCCAACCCACCATTCAGTTGCCTAACACCCAACAGGTCCTCTTTTGCTGCTGTTGCAATCCCTGCTATCATATGAAGTCCAGGTTGCCAGCCAAAGGATGAATGACTACATAGAGATTTTCTGTCTTCTCAGACATCCTAGTCATCCCAGGCAAATGTGTGCTTTCCACAATATTTTCTTCCCTTCTGACCATAACAATGAAGACAGAAGTCTAACAACTATTTATTAGTAGTGTCTGATAAAGAAAATGATACAGACTGTAAGCATGACTTTCTAGCTAAAAATTTATTATTTCATCCATCTATCACTAAAGCAAACAAACAAGCCTGATGAACATAATTTTCTTGAAAAACAACTGTCTTCATATTTCAAATCAGTCTAATCAAAAGTGCTAGAAGTAGTTACTCAGAAGGGATATAGTCATTTTTCATTTTTGGTTTCTAAGATGTTATTTCACTTGCCCTTACCTGTGCTCCATGCTGTAATAAAATGTTTGCACAAGAGGGATGACCTCCGAGACAGGCTTCATGGAGTGGAGAAACATGATCTGCTGTGACGATATTCACAAGCCACCCCTGAAGGAGGAAAAATAGTCAGAGTAAGGGGTGCAAAGAAACAGTGCTCTGGGGCTGTTTTTCAGCCACCATTCCAGTAGGATGACAAAGCTGACCTGGCTCAAAGTCAGATGGTACACTAAGGTGTTTATATTGACTTTAAAAAAAAACAACTGCCACACTACCAGTGGGACTGTAATATGGTATGGCCACTCAGGAAAACAGTTTGACAGTATATGTCAGAGTTGACAATGCATATGCCTATGACTCAGCACTTTGACTCTTAGGAATATATACATCTAGATAAATATACAAGAATATTCACAACCACTTTGGTAGTAATAGTCAAAAACTGCAAACAAACCAAATGCCCATCAACAAGGGACTGATTTAATAAACTCTGGCATAAACTTTCAGCAGAAAGATTACATTAAACAAATTATAATGTCAAGCACTAAAGGGTGATGCTTGCAAAAATGATGTTGAGCAAAAGCAGCAAAATCCCGAATCATACATACTGAATGATTACATCAATTTAAAGTTCAAACTAGGCAAAATTAACCCATATTGTTTCAGAAGACATAATATGTAAAGCAAAACCATAATGAAGACAAGGAAATCAGGATAATGGTTACTCCTGTGAAAGAGGGACAGGATTGTGTTCTAGAAAGCACAACAAGGGGGGGAATGGGTGGCTCTTCAGAAGTGCCAGCAATGTGCTATTTTTCCATTTCCTGACCTGGGGGGGCAGTCACATGGCAATATTCTCATCATCACCACTTTTTGTTCAACTGCACACATGTGTTTAAGTTCTTTTATGTTTGTTTATGATATTTCTCAATTTTTTAAGTCAGCATGGCTCAAATTGCTAAGTTTTAACAAGCAATTATGAAATTTTAACATATTCAGTCGTGACTCTATCTTGTGGGACACTGAAAAGGAAATTTTAAAACTGCAAGGGAAAAGAAATATACTGCATGTACCTTTTATGAAGCCTAAATGTACTTTACTTTAGGAAATTGCAATGTACCTATTAACTAATATAATTGCTCTTTAAACATCAGTATTTAGTAACAAACAGGATTTAATAATGTTTATAATAAAAATAGTTTTGCCCAATTTTTTCTCCTTTGCCTGACATTTAGTTTTTTTCTTAGAATTCCTAGCTCTGTTACAGTTTTGACAAGGAGGTCAGCAAATGACAGCCCATGAGTCAAATCTAGCCTGCAACCTGTTTCTGTATAGCACAGCAGCTAAGAATGGTTTTTACATTTGTAATGGTTTAAAAGAAATCAAAGGAATATTTTGTGACACATGAAAATTTTATGAAATTCAAATTTCAGCATCCATAAGCAAAGTTTTATCAGAACACAGCCATGCCCATTCATTTACATATCGTCTACAACTGCTTTTCTGCTACAGCAGCAGAGTTAGGTAGTTCCAACAGAGACTGCATGGTTCACAAAGTCTAAAATATTTACTATCTGGTCCTTTACAGAAAAAAATTTGCCAACTCTTGTTTTGATCAAAGGAAAGAATATGTCATTTCTTACTTTACTATTCAGACCTAAGACTTAAATGTCCAACTGGTAGGAGAAAATACCTTATTTTTTGACAGTCATCACACTTATATAAAGTAGCTTCATCAATGCCACAAGAGAGATATGATTGGCACATGAAGCAAAAATCATGCTTGTGTATCAGACACAAGTGAGGGGAAGACAGGCCAAGGTACAAAACTTTGGCAAAAGGCAACCATAAAAATAACCAATAGGAAAATGTGCATTCTCCTCCAGGCACGATTGCCATTTTAGAACCAGCATTTAGACCAGGTGCGGTGGCTCATGCCTATAATCCCAGCACCTTGGGAGGCAAAGACTGGTGGATCTCCCGAGGTCAGCAGTTTGAGACCAGCCTGACCAACATGGTGAAACCTTGTCTCTACTAAAAACACAAGATTAGCTGGGCATGGTGGCCTGTACCTATAGTCATAGCTACTCGGGAGACTGAGGCAGGAGAATTGCTTGAACCCAGGAGGCAGAGGTTGCAGTGAGCCAAGATCACACCACTGCGCTCCAGACTGGGCAACGAGCAAAACACCATCTCAAAATAATAATAATAATAATAATAATAGTAAAACCAACATTTAGGTGTTTACACATAAATCCAGGTAAATTAAATGCAAAAACACAGTTACTTGTAATACAAAACAAAAAGTTTTTACCACATATTCATATTACAGAGGTTCCTGAAAAGTCATGAATTCATTTATAGTTCATCAAGTTACAGTTCTACCTTAAATGAACTGTGATTTGTCTAAATTATTAACAAGTCTGAGTCAGAGTCATATAATATCATAAGATAATTAACCCAGTACTTCACAGTGTCTAGTCCACAGTCAGTTCTTAGTTTAAAAAAAAAAAAAAGACTGAATGGCTTAACTTTAATATTTCTATCATCAGTTGTCAACTACTCTTAGTTGACAAAATGTACTTCCCTTGATCCTTGACTTTGGATGTGGTCATGTGACTTGACCAACGGGATGCTGGCAGATGTGACATGAACAGATTGGAAGTATTCTTGCATGGTTGGGCTTGCTCTGCTGTGCTCCAGCCTTTTGCCAAGAGAAAGGAATTCCTCAGGTGGCCAGTGGTCCAAGAAGGATGAGAGAGGTGTGCAGCAGGGCTACACCCAACCCACATCTGGGAGCCAAGCCCAGCCAACCCCAGCCTAGGTTAGCTGACACAAACACTCATCAGCAAGAAATAATGGTTACTTTATGATGTCACTGAGTTTCGGGGTGGTTTGCTATTGAGTTCTGGGTGGACTTAGGTAGGTATTAGAATACTCATTTTATGAAGGCAGAAACTGGGATTCAAAAAATACATCTTACACAAATAATGTGATAGAACTTGGAAGATATGGTTCTGGCTGATGTTTCATCAACATATAAATACTGAATGTAAATGAGTATCTGTCCAATTTAACAAGTGATATATAAAAGCTGCAGAGATCATTTTTTGTGCTATCTAAATAGGGTACATTTTTAATTTTATCTGAGAAGTAGCCTAACTTCTTTTAGCTAGAATTAGTGTTAAAATCTATTTATAACAGACTTCTGCTACCAAAAATGGCTTGATAGTGGCTTAGGATAGTATGAAATTTTTCTTTAGAAACTGGTTTCTTGTAGGAGGATTTCTTACCATGGATAGGTCTATGAACTTGGATTTTTTTAAAAGCACATTTATTCTCACTAAGCTCTATCTAAAATTTAGCATGTCCTTTAGTTCAGAATGTAGGCAACAAACCACAGTAGTAATAGTATTATGTAGGGTTATCTCCAATAGAAATTACAGATATTTTCTATTGTATTACAATTGTTGTAGACATCTAAAACATCTCAAAATATATATTCATCCTATTTAGAAATTATGGTAATTAACTAGAATCACCACTAGATCTTCTATTTAATGAATTAATTTGAAAGTCCCTATGTTATTATGCCACACATTTGTTTTAATATTTTGATAGGTTTCCTCTGTATCGTATTTTCAAAAAGCTACCTGGCTGATGAGTTTCCTCAGAGTCAGCTGACGTCCGTGAATTGCGGCTTCATGCACAGGAGACCAATCAGACACAAAATCTGTATGGAAAGGAAGGAATGGGTTATATCCTGCTAACGCACTTAGAGGCTTATCCTTGCCCATCAGTAAGAGTCTAACAGGCCCTGGATGGAGACATTGGATTCACTCGACCAAAATTTCAATCAGAAATTCAGCATTTCTCCTCTTTATTGGTATTTCTGTGCACAGTTTTACTTGAAATGTCTGGATAGCTTGGTAAAGAACTACAGCCAGTGCTCAAACTAAGGACAAAAGACGTGGATTGGTATGACAGATTACTGTATTTCTATTTACATAGCGGCTTCAAAGGCAAATGGCCCATTTACTTAAGTGAGAGCTTCACTAATTTACCAGCATTAGTGTGTTAAGCTGTGGTGGCCAGTCTAGTTTCCTGCATGAAATACTGTACAGACTTTGGCATCTCAGCAAACAGTGTCCTGTATTAATAGTAGTAATCATGTAATTACATACACCATTAGGTTTGGAATCAAATCCAAACAGAATCATATCTATTTATAGATTGTCTCCTGTCCTAATATTAAGCACAAATCAGTGTTGAGTCTCACCTTGAAACAGCAACATTATTTACCCCCAAAGGCAGCATGCCAATGTGGTTAAAGAAAGCTCTTGGCTGGGCATGGTGGCTTACGCCTGCAATCCCAGCACTTTGGGAGGCCAAGGCAGGTGGATCACGAGGTCAAGAGATCAAGACCAGCCTGGCCAACATGGTGAAACCCCGTCTCTACTAAAAATAGAAAAATTAGCTGGGTGTGGTGGTGTGTGCCTGTAGTCCCAGCTACTCGGGAGGCTGAGGCAGGAGGATTGCTTGAACCCAGGAGGAGGAGACTGCAGTGAGCTGAGATCAGGCCACTGCACTCCAGCCTGGTGACAGAGCAAGACTCTATATCAA